TGTCGTAATAGTCACGTCCAAAATTGATGAGGCGATACGTACAGCGTACAAGCTCAACGCACAATGCATTGCGCAGCTGTAAGCTCTCTATTGCAAAGATTAACTGAGATGTCGCATTTTTTGAAGCGCAAGTTACACGCCTGCACCGGTATGCCTTATCCCAAGGCTTGCTGAAGTACACCACGGAACACATCACGAACGCATAACACTCTGAATGTAGTGATGTCTCATCATATGACCTTTAAAGCAGAATACTGTCCGAGGTATATTATATCCCATTGGGTGGCCGCCTCAAAAGGGAAAACATACTGCTTGTCAAGCGCTATGAAGTGATGGTCCTCATGTACAAGTGAGTAAGCGCGTTTGCGCACACGTAAGAAATGTGTCAACGGGTTAAAACACGCTGCATGCGGTAGCACCTTCTGCTGGCCGGCCAGTTCCGCAAAGTGTTGGCAATCCAAAATTATGTACGTTGTTCACGGATCCGGTGATACTAGCATTGTTGCTGCTGCGAACCGTCTGCGAGAGGCTTATCGCTACTATTAGCGATAACGTTATGGACAGAAATACAGCCAAAATCTTCTCGGAGGTGTTTCATCAACATGTCTTTCCGAATGCCTTTGTATCTGATCGATACCCGCAAATTTTGCGAAATTTAGGGAGGGATGTTCGGCGCGAGTTTGCGTATATTAACCACTGACCATTCACCAACGATTGACAGATGGAACCCGTTTGTCGCGTTGTTGGGATTGCGCACTCGCGTAGAGAGATTGCGATGATGGGGCGAGGTATCCATTAATTGAGTTTGCGCTAAAAATGCAGTACATGTCTTTACAAGCTTCACCGCTTTCGCCAAAAATGAATTGGTGAACCTCCAAATGCTTTTTTAACCGTCACAAATTGGATTTCTCTTATAGGTCAAGGAGCTGTCGATCAACTTCGACTTGCTAATATCGGTCCGACATCACCTTAGCAAAATCAACAATTTTATCTTAATTCGATTGGGTCCAAGACATAGGGTCGCGACGCCATCAGTGAGAGTCAAGATTAAACAACGACAACGCGCCGATACCGCAGGGGGGAAATATACGAATATTTAAGGGAAATTGTCTTCTTAAGTGGAACTTACAAATCTACACATGTGTTGTCTACGGTCTGTTCAGAAAAGTTGCGACCGCGCAACGTCGGATCGTTTATAAAGAAAGGGCTATTTTGTTCTTTATAGGTTCCACCGAGAACGCTAACACATATTTGTTTTCATGTGGTTTTAACTAAAGTCATCCCAGGATTTCAATCTTAAGATTTGGAGGACATTAAATGCTCTGTTGCAGACAATGCAAAGTCTCAATTATTTTCTGTAGCCGAGCTAATCTCTACTCCAAGGCAGAGCCGCCGCTGGAATGCATCAAGCTAGGAAGTACGAGCACAAAACTCGAGCGAAGATAATTTGTCTTGTGACGCATGTCGTTACTTTCGAAGAGTATCTACCTCTGCCAATTCTGCGAGAGCTGATGGATCCAGGATGCGGTAGGAACAAACTACGTTGGCTCTGCTCGGTGTGTATGGGGTGGTGCTTTTACGTGTGGTGAGTTGGCGGGTAAACCAGAGCTATTACCAGTACCTAGAAAGCAGAAGAACATCATCATTTAAAAGCTCGAGATTACGCATCGGTGAGATTGCCCTCGATCTGTTTCGCTATCGACCTGGCACATCCTTGGCTTGAATACTCCTACGAAATGAGAAAAAATCGCTGACTTCTCACTACTGGGATTCGATCGACGTTGCGATGAGGTAGACCCTTGACCAATAGCTGTACCTGTTGTATTCCAGAGCTGAGAGTAAAACCACTAACAGCAGGATCTTAAGGTGATGGGTTGCCGTCTTGACGTCCGCATCGCGCTTTGTACTTCAAAAAGTCAATCATATAACGATGTTTTTGGCGGATGCCTGCGTCGCGAAAGCTGGCTTGTAAAATTTTACTACGGGTGATACGGCGCGTCTTACACACGACATGGCGCAAATTGACTTATATGCTCAGTACATCCGTCATAAAGAGCAAGAACTCTCGCAACCGCTACTACCCCAACTACATTCAGTGGGAGAAATTGGGGGTTGAGAAAGCGTCTTCTCTTCTTGTTCCGTCCATATTCGTTGCGTTTGTTAGCACTTTTTCCCTACTGTTAATTTAAGCCAAACTTGCTCCAAAACCCATACAATTAGCGATCACGAAGCGACTTTTCGCGCTTGATTTGCTGTTAGTGTGAGCGTCAGGCCCACATGTAAAAGCTCCGCGCCAACATGGTCAGTGACTTTAAGCAGTATATTTCGAATCATGGCTTGATGACTTGGTCAAGAGTGAATGAGACTCTTGCGCTTATAGTAAACGGATGGATTCCTTGCGCCAGATTTTGCTCGTTGGTAGCAAGTTTGACGCCGTCGTGGATTCATGGGGGGACTCGAAACATCCTTCAACGACGAAAATAATCGCGGAGTCCGACACTCATGCATCCGTGAGGCCGAGTTCAGTGATTGTCTTCTCCATGGAGAATAGCTAGGCCGTGTAAAGTCGGGTAAGGATGTTGGTGTTTGGCTGGAACTCAAAGAGTCCCTGGCATAAAAGAAAACCTCGTTTTTTCATCGAGAAGCGTTAGGTGCGTCAGTCGCAAAGTCGTCTAGTTTTGCGGGGACTTGCTGTGCTAATCGATTTGGTGCACGGGAGCGGACTCCTGGCGCAAATATACTCAAAAGAGCTGGCGAGGAAAAGTTTAGAAATTGGAGTGGTTGCTTGTGGAGCGGTCAATTTGCAAAGTGTAAACCCAGTGTGTCCTACGTACATTGGAGGAGCGGGGCAAGCACTGTATACTGTACATTGCATGCTTACCTATTTTTGTACTATTTTTTTAACCACTACTCAATACAATTGTACTAAATTCACATTACGGCGTTAATTGTTAATATTCATATGACGATGACGGAGCTCAGAGAAGAAAAGGTCCATAGAACGACATGAGCTGCTAGCCATAGTTCATTAAAATATGACATTTATATGTGAAAAAAATATGACGTAAAAAATTAGAATTGGTCGAAGTATGATAAATTCATAAATGCACACACTCTTAAAATTGCAGAGCGAGCTAACAGTGGTATTTATTCAAGGGATCTTGATCCCAGTCCTGGTAGAAGCATGATCCTTAACTTTGTGCGTCGATAAGAGCGATATTTCGTATGAAAAGAATATCTGGGCAAAATGCACAACAACACTGCCGCACTTAGGACCACACCGGTCACTTCATTCATAAATTCCTGCATGGACTTGTGGAGCTTCAGCCCTCTGTGTAAAAAGCGCGCCACACGGTTTTGCCGACTGAGCAGTACAGCTATATTCTGACGAGGTAGACTATCCTTATGGACTTAAGGATCCCACCCTTCCACTTGCAGCTTATTACCGGCAATTTTCACCATCTCATGCTCAGGAGAATGTAATGCCAAGCCGTTCTGATATGTTTTTTCGTTATCTTTTTCCGAAACTGCGACAGATGGTTGCCTTTCTACATTCCACCGAAGTACTTTCACCATATAGCTGTATTGAAATTCTCATATACGATATTTGCAATCTATTATCCGTGTTATCGTCTCTCTAAGTAACCACACTCAATGCCGCTTCTGCCCTCTAAGTTTGCTCAAAGGCCTAGTAACCTTTTTCAATTCGGGTAATTCGGGTAATTCGGGTAATTCGGGTAATTCGGGTAATTCGGGTAATTCGGGTAATCATATGCCTTGCTCCACTAGATGATTCGTACAACAGACTTTTTAAATTATAGTCGGTTCATGGCTGTTGAAAATTTAGCCGTGCCATACCTATATAAAATACGGTCGTAGTGCAAGTCCAGGTCTGGACCAGACAACATTTCACACTGTCGAATTTTAAATTTTTTATAGAAGATTCAGCAGAAAATTCGTTCGTTCTCGTCGTTAGACGCCTAAAAATGGTATCCGTGTTTGATGCTTTCAGTGTTTTCGAATAATGTCTACTACTTTCGTCATTCACGCGTTGTATGCTACTGCACGATGCTCTCAAAATTGCCAGGATGGCTCTACAGTTTTCCCAAGCCAAGATGTTGATATTGACAGCCAACAACCTTTGCAAACTTCATCTCTCGAAAGAAGAGTCGTCTTCCTTAGAGCTAAGTTTATTGATCTCGACCTGCACAATGTTAACAAACTCAGTTTTTTGCCAGATGTCGTATGGCGTTCGCCTGTTAATTACCCTGTGCCTACTGAGACCCGTGTACCTGGGGGGGGGTGCCGGTCGATGCGAGAGCCCAATGCTCCATATTTTTCAATCAAGAGAGAACTAGGCGCACAGAGCACAAGTGTTTGATACAGTTCCAAATGGAACATCTTTGAGTACCACAGTGCTGTTCAGACGCTAAATTCTCCAAACTTCATCCGCAGAATGGCCGAGGCTCTCCACCACTGGTCTCGTAAAGCTCCCATTCTTCGAGCTCAAACTGGTCTCGGCACAAGGGTTGGTCTTTTGGTTCGCTCCAACACCTGTTGTATTTTTAAAAAGGCTGGGTAGAACTGGGTGGTCTTGGTGCAAGCAGCACCTGCCCAGAGGCTCTATGAAAACGGAAACAATATGTAGTGGAGACAAAAGCTTTTAACTCTAGGACAAATGCCATCAATTAGTTCTTTTTTTAAATTTTAATTCGATACAAATCCATTACGCCTAATTCGGTAACGTGAACACTTGCGGAATCTTTTGTTCCAATCCTTTCCATGCCAGGAGTGCCTCTTTTACAAAGGTACTGCGCATAAGTGCCCAATGCACATAGGTCACCCGGCTTGTTGCCCGCTAGTTTACGCGGAACTTCTCTGTAAAAATCGAGTCAGACTCATCGCCATCTCAGCTGATCTTGACCAAAGATAAAGATTTATCCATCCTAGCCTCAGAATACTCAATATCAGCGGCCTTCCAATCGGTGTCATCTGTTCTCTCCCGGCACCCGATGGGGGCGCCGTAGGACGTGTCTCACCAGCACATGCTGATAGCTATTAAACGCGTTGAAAAGCAATCATCGCTTCCAGCCATCAAACTGCCAAGTTTGTTAGCCCTTGGAACAGCAAATAAAATCACCATATTAAGCAGAACAGATACTCATACGAATCGTATCAATCCTCTCAGACTTTACACTAGGCAAACCCATTTATAATATGTGCTACCGGGTACAGCGGGTTGCCGTGCACCTCGCACATAAGAAGCAGGAATTGTACGAGTACATTTTAGCAAATATCTAGTGTATGAATTTGTATACCAGGAGTTGAAGTGAGAGTCTTCTAAATAACCGAGTGCTGTATTACTCTCTTTGATTTAAGAAATAACATGTATTATAAATACGGTATATTTTACTCGGATATTCAACACATCTATTTTACTACTCTTCCTAATAAAAGCCTTGTGTCTTTTGGACCACTCACGTCCGAAGTACATCCCTTCTTACGTAACATTACCGATTATGAAGCCAAAATAGTTCTCTTCGAGTTTTAATGTATATCTTAAGGACAAAGTTCACGGTGTACATTTCGGTGCATACGCTGCCCCAGTGATCTCACAAATCTAGCTCTCGCAATGGTCTTTAGCGTGTATGTCTGGCGATATGGTAAGAACGAGATGCGGGATGTTGCCTCCTGCACCAAAGCGGGTAGAGTGTGGAGGCGACTAGACATCGTAGTAGAGCCGTGGAGTTGAATGGCGACTATAAGCTGCTATTACAAGGGTCAGACCTTGAAGATTACATATAATTTTTTTCTTGTCACGGTGTAATGTTACTCGCTGCATCAGCGCTTCTTTGTAACGAGCTCATCGTGCTGGATAGTGAAGCTTTGCGAATAAGGGTCGAGTTAGTGGCGAATAAGTTTGGGGGCTCGATAGTGAGTAGACCGCTGATTGTAATAGGAGGAGCTGAGAATTTAAGGAATCTAGCGGAGTCTTCTAGGTTTGATAAGGAATTTACAAGATGTTTGAACATGAGTTGACCTGGTTGCTGAAAGCATATAATACGCCATACAGCAACGACCTTTTCAGTGTTACAAGATTGATTATATCTTCCGTGCGAAGCACGTTACATGTGCAGTGAGAGATAAAACGCACAATACTCAGCGCTGATGTTTTTTGTGAGAAATGCCGACGGCAACTTTTTAACTATGCATAATTAGATACAATTACGATTCCAGCATAAAGCAGATTTCTATTCGTCTGTGCTGCAGATCAACACGGTCAATTACAAGTTGTTTTGTGCCTTCAAACCTGTTCAATAGACATTATCAACTGCTAATAAGAGACAGCGATACTTTCACTTCGAGAAATCTTCCGAGCAAAATTCTCTAGGACTGGCTGGTCATACAAGAAGGTCTGTATAATGCGCAAACGACGTTCAATCTTCAGGACACACAACTATTCAGATCTCATCGTGGCTACGTAAAATTAATACTGAGGATATGTTCTTCTATAGTCGGGGTAGAGCACGGGGGGGTCGGATGCGGAAAGACACATTGAACACTTGCAAGCTTTGCTCGAGTGTATATTGAAAAAAGATAGTCGTCAACACTGACAAGTTTGTCCATTAGGCAAACGAAATTTGCTTTTTTGATTGTTTCATCGGGAACAGGGTCATCAAGCAGATCCTGCAAATATGAAGGCCAAGTAAAATGGCCGGTGCCATTAACGGAATTGAGAAAGTGGCTTGACCTGAAGATTGGCGACTTGCAAAAGACGTGAAATGGTCCGGTGATGAGGCGTTTTTTCTATAAAAAAACTTCTTGAAATTCGGACTGGTCGTTCATGTCGTCTGCGACACCTTGCTATAATTAAGAGGCTCCTCTTTATTTATATGATATAACAATAGCCATGACTGCGTGATTGCTTTAGATTGTTTTGAGCAGGAGCTACTTGGAGGAACTACTCTGTTCATTACAAGGAGCTACTTGCAATAAAAGATTCACTGCTCAAGTTATGGGCGCATGTAAGAGAATTTAAGTTTACGAATTGTGCATCGTTGCGTACGACCCCACATCTGTTATAGTGATTGGCAAGCTGACTAAACTTATTTGCCGAGTGCACTTTGCGGTAAAGTATCAGCCAAATTGGCTAGATCTGGCTTCAAATCCACTATTGGTCGCCCCAACTATAATCATCGCGAATTTATACTAATACACGGCTGCGTCTCTAATTGACGAGGCGATACGTACAGCGTACGGGTCGAACTCACAATGTATTGCGCAGCTGAAGTCTCTGAGTTGCAAGGAGTAACTGATTTATGTGTAACGGGCTACACTAGACATCAAATAAAGGTACATCTTTGTACTTTCTAAATGCAATGTAGGAAATTTAGGAAAGAAGATCACAGTATGGTGTCCTCAAATGCCATCGTGACAGCTTATAGTATGTCCCAAACATTCTGTGTGATTCAGAAAGCTGGATTCTTGTTCGGGGGCTTGTATTGGGGACGAGACCGTCGTGTCTCTGTTGTTCAAAGTAGAGGACGTAAGCCAGTCCCTACTACTGGATTTATTTCACGAAAGTTAAAGCTCAACTTTACTGAGTTCAAGCTCCGTACTATCTTGTTAAAGCTGAAGCTGAGGCCTAACCTCAGTACACCCTGATTAATTCATCAGTAACGTTTTATTAGTAAAACCTCTAGGTGTCCTTGGGGTATTTGCATGTAGCTAAGATTTTAATTTAGGTGCAAATTTACCTTCAAAGTGTTAAGTCGTTTTCCTTTTCTCCAAGTTCGTGCTATCCTTCTCCCTCCATGTCAAAAATCGCTTCCTTGTTGCGTAAGCGTGCGCGTTGTGCTTGAGTGACTATTGAGAACAACACCCCCTTACTTTTAGTAACACTGCAAGCGTTCTTTTCATCGAAACTCAATTTTGGTTTGATGACACGGCTGATAAGCAGTCGCGCATTCCAGTCCAAGCCATACTTTTGTTTTTGTCCGAGCGACATGGAGAGAGTAGGGATACAGTTCGGTTCATCAGTGCCGCAATTTGAGGTGTTGATGAATAAGGTTTTTCCTCATTTGTCCTCACATGAGTGGATGACACTTAAGCGGCTGCGAGAAGTCACAGGAAAAGTTACTGTAGTCATTTAACTCCAGTCGTTTTCTTCAGATGATCAGAAGAACGCGACCGCCAGTTGCGTCGTGCAAATTTGTTTGAGCGCCCTTTCTGACTGGGCATGGTGTTAGCCGGCTCAATGTGAAAGAAGAAATGACCATTCGTTTAGCGAATAAAACTGAAATGAATATACCAAAGCATGTCGTTTGCTTGGCAATGAAGACTGAGGAATTATAAGGTGAAGACAAGTTGCTCCTACTCGATCTCGATGATAAGTTTGATAACATCCAAGGTATGTCATGGTTTTTAGCGTTATCAGCCTAGCATTGTTAAAAGAAGAGAAGAGAATATAAAGATCGTCGTCAACAACTCATGCAGCGCTAATTCGAGCTGCATGGCGATGGACAAAATGGCTTAAGCATATGCATCTGAAAGAAGTTGCAGATGTTCCAAGTGACATTGTGGCGTATGATGTCCCCCCCATGTGCAGCCTTCAGTGCGATCGATCCGAAGGATAGTTCTCTCAGATACGAATGCGCAAAAAATGATATCATCAAGTATACAATTAAGTTGTTACAGCGCATGCGTTTACATTAGTATTCTTTTAGTTATGCCCGCTTTAATTGGTGGCTTTGCTAATTGGTTTGTCCCTTTAATGATTAGTGCTCCTGATATGGCATTTCCTCGCATGAAGAATATGAGGTTTTGCAGTCAGTACCCCGGTGGTGTTCTGTGGGAATGGTAAGTGATGTCACAAGGTTTGAAGAACGCCCCCGCGACTTTTAACAGAATTGTTACGAATCCAGCAGTTGGAGGCTGCCCATAGGGCGACTCCCATGCGCTCGTATCCGTAGACCCTCGTGTGGAATACGGCTTCCGCTCGGCGGATTACGCCACTGAAGCGATCACTCGATCGTTAGGCGTCTACGTAGTCGGGCTTCCGGCCACTACACAAGTTGAGCTTGATCAGCTGAAAGCTCTCCGAGCTCGCTTTTTCGTACCACAAGAAACCTCAATGAAGCGGTACCACACTCAACTTCGTGCTCGAAAAAGAGGCGCCGCTGTACCAGCAATGCTGGCTAGTCTTGTGGTGCTCGCCCCTGGAAATATTGCTGTCGATGATGATGAGCTTTTTAAGCGATGAATGCTGCGGCACCAAAAACGGTTCTCGCTTTCCACCTTGCAGCGAAGCCACCAGGAAGTGAACGTGCGCGTAAAGCGCCATCTTTGATTTGAGTTTGCCAAAGTCAAGGTGCAACGCTGTCTTCCTGTGTATCGTCGCCCTGCGACACATGAATTGATCCATTACGCTCCCGCGAGCTCTGTGGTTTCTCACAAGGGTGAGTCTACAACTCCAGCGGCTTAGGGCTATTGCTAGAGCTCGATTTATGACCCTTCGGGTTCCCGAGCTTCTCTCGAGAGGCGCGGGGCGCACGACGACACGAAGCGTCATGATCCTTATGATCATTAGCGTCCACGACGTCTGGGTAGTCTCATTGAAGTGGCGCTTCAAAGTCCCACGAGCTCTCGGAGTTTGGGTATCCCCGCCACTACACAAGATATTGGGTTTGA